TTCTTGGATTTCTTTGAGCAGCATTTTGTAGTTCTCATTGTAAAGGTCTTTCACTTCTCTCGTTAGCAAGATGCTGAGGTATTTCATTTTTTTTGTGGCTATTGTGAATGGAATTGTGCTTTTTTATTTGGGTCTCTGCCTCCTTGTTGGTGTATAGGAATACAACTGTCTTTTGCACGTTTATTTTGTACCCTGAGACTTTGCCAAAGCCCTTTATCAGTGCAAAGAGGTTTTTGACAGATTCTCTTGGATTTTCAAGGTATAGGATCATATCATCAGCATAGAGAGATAACTTGACTTCCTCTTTTCATATTTGGTTACCCCTGTTTTCCTTCTCATGTCTAATTGCCCGAGCTAGGACTTGCCACACAATGTTGAACAAGAGGGGTGAGAGTGGGCAGCCTTGTCTTGTTCCAGTTTTCAGGAGAAATGTTTCCAGTTTCTGTCCATTTAGCAATATGTTAGCTGTGGCTTTATCGTAGATGGCACTTACTATTTTGAGGTATGTTCCTTCTATATCTAGGTGTTTGAGGATTTTTATCAAGAAGCGATGCTGGATTTTATCAAAAACTTTTTCGGGATCTAATGAGATTATCATTTGGTTCTTGTTTTTACATCTGTTGATGTATTTAGTGACATTTATGGTCTTGTGAATGTTGAACCAGCCCTACATCCTGGGGATGAAGCCTGTTTGGTCATGGTGGATGATTTTGAGATGTGTTTTTGGAACTGATTTGCTAGAATCTTGTTGAGGATTTTAGCATCTATGTTCATAGATGGCCTGTAGTTCTCTTTTTTTGTTGGATCTTTACCCAGTTTGTGTATCAGTGTGATGTTAGCTTCGTAAAATGATTTAGGGAGAATTCCATCTTTCTCAATTACCTGGAATACTTTCAGTAGGATACGTTTTGTAGAATTCTGCTGGAAAGTCATCCGATCCAGGGCTTTTTTTTGGTTGGTAGTTTTCGTATGACAGAGTCCATTTCCTGGGTTGTTATTGGTCTATTTAGTGTCTTAATGTCTTCTTGTTTCAACGTGGGGAGGTTGTGTGATGTCAAAAAGTTCTCCATTTCATTTAGGTTATCAAGTTTGTTCCCATATAGGTGCACATAGTATTCTCTGATAATCTTTTGTATTTCTTTGGGGTCAGTTGTGATTTGATCTTTTGTATTTCTGATTGTGTTTATTTGAACTTTTTATTTCTTTTACTTGGTCATTTTGGCTAGGGGCCCATCAATCTTGTTAATTCTTTCAAAGAACCAGCTTTTTGTTTTGTTGATGTTTTCTATGATATTTTTGTTTTCTGTGTCTCGTATTTGGGCTCTTATTTTTGTGATTTGGATTCTTCTGCTAAAGTTGGAGTTTTGATGGTCTTTTCTTTATAGCTCCCTTAGGTGATTTGTTAGGCTTTCAAATTCCGATCTTTCCGTTTTCTTGATGTGTGCACATAGACATATAAATTCCCCTCTGAGAACTGCTTTCAGGGCATCCCAGAAGTTTTGGTAAGATGTTTCTTCATTTTCATTTGTTTCCAGGAATCTTTTAATTTCTGCTTTGATTTCAGTGTTGACGCAATAGTGTTTCAGCATCATGCTACTTAGTGTCCCTGTCTTTGTGGGCTTTGGGAAAATGTTGTTGGTGTTAATATTTATTTTTATTCCACTGTGGTCTGATAATATGCATGGCAAGATTTCAACCT